GTTTTTTGACCTTTTAACCTTTTGATATAGTGTGTAGTTGTGTTTTGACATTTTGGTATATTTTTTACTTGTGTGTTGACATTTTGGTATATGTTTAGTAATTTTGTGCGGACATTTTGGTATATATTTTGTACTTGTGTGCTGACTGCTAGAGTCAATACATGTGCAAGTGAATCATGTGTTTTTGAAACGCATTATCGCACAGTGGCCAAACAGAGCTCTTTGACAATAATGAGCAATTGTATGCATTAGTATCAATTACCACGGACGGTTCTCTGTGAGTACGTTTCTTGTAAACGTCCCTCCCTTTGCTTTGAAGCAAAGCTCAACCGACCTTATCAATGCATCAGGGTAATTTTGTATAAAAAAAATGAAACGTTCGTATCATTGTATACACAAAGGCATGTTTACGGAACGGCTGATTACTCAGGAACCAGGGTTAATGAATCGTGTTCTCTAATGTCATTGGACAATACACGTCCTTCTCAACACAATGTTTCGTTGTATGCTTAGTACACGTCTATAGTCTATATTGAGCGATTAAGCATGATTTGCGCAATGCGATATGGTACAAAGTATTTGCTTGTGAGCTTGTTCGTTTGTTTGCTTGCTTGTTCGTTAATCTGTTTGCTCCGTTTTTCGTTTGTTTGTTTGTTCCTTCCTTCGTTCGATTTTTCGTACTTTGTTTGCTTGGGGTTAACGTTGCAATAGCACATTACGTATTATATGAAGAGTGCTGTTAGGAGATTCACCTTCCAAAAGGATAACAATAACACAGAGTTCTATACAGAAGCAGAGTATGAAAATGGGGCCAAAGGTACCTCGTGCAATGATGTAGTGGGCTACACCAGGCACTGTTTCTCTGGAAATTTACAGTGGTAAGTGCATTGTACCTTTATACATAAAAGTTATGAGAAGGGATACTTAAAATGGTAATGAAACCTTTAAAGATACCATTCATTTCACACTATCCCATACAATATTATGGTACGCTGTTACAGGGTTTCTGTATAAAACGTGACTTTTTATATATTTTCTGAATGATGGAAAGCCACTTCTTAATTAAATGTCTGGTCTGTTTAATAGCCTATGTTGAGAGAACTGTCGTATCTGAGAGCATTGTTAAATGTCTTTATTCACAACCAAAGTATAAAAAGATGGGGTAAATAATAACGTACAAGTATATCAGGGATGACAGAAATATTGCTTTAATTGAAGACTGTTGGATGTTTTATTAGGAAAAGCAATTTCCATTCCAATGATCTACGATCGTTCAATCTTGACGTTGCGTCAATAGCGGATCATAGAGGCTCAATCTACCGTGAGCGTGTGTATCAAATTCCATTCCAAACCATAACGCCATGTCACAGAAAGTCTATGTACACGCGGTCGATAGCAGGAAATAAAATCATTTAATGAGTCGAGGAATAAAAAAAAACCAAAATCTTGTTCTTATTCCATGGTTTCTGACAACGTCAATTCTATAGCGTTATGACAGTTTCTCTATGACATACAGAAACTTGTGCACAAATTAATTCCGGATTTATTGAACACGATTTCTATTTCAATTTCGGATATTAGATAGCCATTTCCGTTCATTCGCCATCACACAACAACTAAGACATGACAACAAAGACCTTAAAACGCATTTTCTAGAAAAGCAATTCGTAAAATCTCAAAATGACAAGATATCTTATGTCAGTCAAAATAATGTTTCTAATGAAATCTGTTTTTAATTTGAAAGCAATACAGTTGGTACCTTTAATATTATTCTCAGATTTGTTAGATATGACATAAATATGAAAACAGAATCATAAAGGATGCTTAGACTCTATACACTAGTTAGTTTAAAGAGTACTCAGAATTGACTAAAATGAACGAGACAAAATGTTGCACATGTTATATTATATAAAATTTGTTACAGATGTGTCCACATAGCGTTGTAATTTTCCATGTACATTAGAAAAATTATGAGAATATAAAAGAGCGAAAATACTATATCACTGTTTTCTAAGGCAATACATTTTTTGTCTAACCCCCGCAGGCCTGCTATAGCCCCTAACATGATATCGTGGCTGATGTGGGGTCCCCCTCAAAATCGGGTGTTTTGTTATGTGTCGTCTGCTTAGGGAACACCATGAAAACAAAATTGATCTGCAGCCCCATTGCAACACTTCCTATTTCTTAAGTTTTCTGTGTTTCCCTATTCTTTCGTTTCGAATGTTTCCCCCGAGACCTCCGTTTTCATATGATCTTAGCTGTGAAGAGGTAATTAAACCCCAGGTAAACAGAACAAATAAACAAAGGAAAAGCAAATATTACTATCTTTAAATATTCATAGTCAGAAAAACTTTCTCAATAAACTACAGGAGTGTTATCATTGGGGAAAAAGCATCCCTGCGCATAACAATGCCGTCATAAATCTCCTTTCATGCGTAGCTCAGTGGTAATGATATACAACAACGACACTTACACACCATGATGTATATTTCATTATTGATACTGATAGCACTGTCTCCAATATTCTACAAATAGAATAAAATTGACCTCACACTTATCGCCTGTAACAGTTACACATGGTTAGGTTACAAATAGGAGAATAGGAAGCAATCTTCTCCGTTGTCGACAGCCACACTTTCCGGTTACAGCACACGCGGAACATAACGACTTTGACAATTATAAAACTTCAAAGAAAACATAAACATGACTTTGTGAAGAAAAACAGATCACGATGTTGGGCTATTGAAGACTCGACAGAATGATTATGAAATTCAATATCGATCATCAATTTCACACAACCCAATGTTTATCTTTAACATAAGATTATTTGATAGGGGGACACGAAATCTTGTTTTTTGTCAACACAATTAAGAACAATGATAATAGCCTGTTTAAGTGCGCGTAAACTCGTTGTTCGCGTGAGAATTGGCGGTATATAATCGGTGAGCTTCCCTGGCGTTGTGTTTATAACGTTATATATCACGTTAACCGCCCCGACGTCGCGGTTGACGGCAGTTGAGGATTACGCAAACAAGTGTGGTTAGTTATTGAATGAAATGATCGAATCTCGTAGCACGGGAGAGTGATGAACGAGTGTCCGGCTATAAACGTAATTTCAAAGGGACGGGCCGTTTATTTTAATATCTCTCCGGAATAAGGAATCCGTCTCCTTTCCGTTTTCTAGTCGTTTTCCTTTGCATCCGTGACGCCGATTGTGTCTAGGTGTTTTTATGATGTAGGGAATTTAGAGACGCAACATGACATCATGGTAACGACAGCGCTGACAGGACATCACCGTAAAAATCATGTGACAGGACATCAGTTATCCCGATATCATGAGACAGGACATAAGTTATCCCGACATCATGTGCCAGGATATCAGTTATCCCGACATCATGTGACAGGACATCAGTTATCCCGACGTCATGTGACAGGACATCAGTTATCCCGACATCATGTGCCAGGACATCAGTTATCCCGACATCATGTCACTTGACATCAGTTATCCCGACATCATGTGACAGGGCATCAGTTTTCTCGACATCATGTGCCAGGACATCAGTTATCCCGACATCATGTGACAGGACATCAGTTATCCTGACATCATGTCACTTGACATCAGTTATCCCGACATCATGTGACATGGCATCAGTTATCCCGACATCATGTGACAGGGCATCAGTTATCCCGACATCATGTGACAGGGCATCAGTTATCCCGACATCATATGACAGGGCATCAGTTATCCCGACATCATGTGACAGGTCATCAAGAGCGATGCTAAGTGACATGGCATCAATATAAAGATCACATGACGGTCATCATGGATAGTACCACGCGATAGAGTATGGCACTTGGCAGGACATTACGTTTTGAATCACGTGACAGAGAATCATCAGCATGTCCACGTGACTGATCATCTGAAGTAACTGTACAACGTGCCATAAATGTTAGTACCACTTGACATGATATCAAGGAATGACCACGTGACAGGGCAAAAGAAGTCATAAATAGATAAGATATGAAGTGATAGACCACCTGACAGGTCAATGTTTCAACACGAATATGGTCATTAAAAGTCTATATAGATAGTGTGATGAAAAATTAAGTTAATGACTGTTTTACTAACATGTATAAACAGGGAGATGGTAGTTAAACACTATTTAAACAATAATCGTTTTGGGTAAATAAATGTCAGCAATTATGGACACAAACCCATGAATATGTGCTTATAATTATAAAACAGGCAATACGAAACAGATTATGACGTGACACATCAACTTGTGATCACGGCAGCATAACAGTTAACGAGAGATGTGTTGATGTACAGTAATTGAGTTGAGAAGTTGAGTTCCAGTTATCGTGTGATATTGATCGATACAGCTGATGTAATGTTTAATCAACAACACATGATTCCTAACAGACGACAAGGTAGGCTGTTACTATCTACCTCTTTGGCTGAGATGCTTTGTGACAACCAATTGAGTACTAGCGGTAATGCAATAAATAGCAAACATTACAAAAACAGTTCAATTTATCTTCTCGTTAATGGACTTAAAACACCCCCAGTGTCGTCTCGTAAATTTAACTAAAATTAGAATTACCTTAAACTATCCATACCGTTAAAATGACTTATATTGAAGCTTTTCTGTGTATTTAGAAATAAAAATAAATTCCGTACTATAATTGTATATTTACCTTCACGTATTTTGGTGAGTTGCGAATTATAGCCATGCTATTTATTACAGTAATTTGAATATAGCTTATTTTATGAAATATGTATATAATGCATATTAGTTATTTTTGCGATTACTAGTTTTCAATAGTTTTATTCAATTTATGGATTTAATCAATAGGATAAATATCAATAAACAAAAAGCAAAATAAACAAAACAAGAGATATCGACCATCCCCGAAAATAAATGCGGAAACATTTATAGTGCTAAATAAATAGGATCAACAATGTAAAAAAAAATATATAACTGTATTGACATACTTACCGGTTAGATAGGCGCATGGCATTATGAAAACAATGACCATCGTTATTCCGGACATAGCGGTCACTTTAACATATGTCGGCATGATGACGTTGATGTATGATCAGTAGAAATAATTGTTCAACACTTATGTCCGAAATTCAACAAGAGTGACCGATTATGCGGCTTCGTAGAGAGTTGATGTCCACCGCAGGGTATTGGTCAAGTAATGATGCCTAATTCTGGATGTGGGTCTGATAGCGATGGCCACTGCTTGGTTTAGGTCAAAGCGATCGTGTGGTCACCAGAGACCGATAAATAAAATGCTGACAAATAGATATCACTTTCTGGTCTGATCTCTCCGACTAGGGGATCTGAAAAAATACAATGACAAATCATGATTTAGTTCTGGTGGTGCGGATAACCAAACTTCGGTGAATTGATCTAATAGGTCTGCCGTGTCATAGAATCGAAACGAACGCACATCATTGGCTTTATTTGATTACCTTCTGTGATTGGTGTAAACATTATATAAAAGCGACGAATAATTCTGTGGTGCTACATGTACATGAAAGAAGAGCATAATTTCGTCGGACCCCTATGAAACTTTAGTAGACTCTACCAAACATTGATCTGGATGAGTCATTTATGGTCTAAAGTGATGAATGATAATGACATTTTGAGGGCAAGCTTGCTATTGCCCTTCAATAATGACACATGAATATCAAAGGATTGATTAAGGAAAGTGAGGGTAATAACTCTAATAAAAGGAGTCGACATTTCAAAATCCGAAGAGCAGGCTTATTTGCCTGTGACCTACAGGACGGATGATAATAAAACAACACTAAACCCTCTATTTAAAGGGCGTTTATCCTATTTTTGATCTTGGAAAAGAACACAGGAAACATATTGTTAAGGTGAAACGGTGTTCTACTTGTCTGCCAAACAAGACAAGACAAAAAACAAAACTGGCGGATTTTAGTCATTCACACTACCGCTGTTTTTCAGTTATTTTTGTTCTCATTAACAAACAAAATGTGACAAACTTAAACATTCTAAACCTAAGTGAATTCTAACCTTTACTTTCACATTAATAGGGAAATATTTAAATAGGATAATCAACGGATCGGTATCAACCATCCAAGGCAACAAATTTTGTAAGAGAAGAAAGCATATGTCAGTTTGTAATAGCATGGAAAACCAGATCAAGATTCGAACCAGGGCCCTTTGAAAATAAGACTGGTGCCTTAACCAAATAAACTACGTTTCAAAGGCAATCAGTCCAGTTCAGTCCACTTCATTTCAAAGGAGTGACACAATTAAACTAAGCTTTCATGTTGCTAACTGGAATTTTTAAAGCTTAAAACTGTCTAGATTCTTTGAAATGTATCTGCATATGAAATATTAAAGTTTGGTGGCATTTTCGGAATTCCCTAGCTCGAGAATTCCACAATCGCGAGAACAGGATTGCAATCAAAAACAGGCACGAAAGACCGAGAAATCCGTCCACAAGTACCTTAAGATTTCAATCAGCCAAACCATTGTTGTCAGTGCTGCACTTGAATTCCTCAGAGGTACAATATTTAACAAGTGATAATTTTTTACATTTAAAACACATAAACCCATTCTCTGATTTCGCTGTGTGAGTCCTGTATGATTAAAACGGACGATATGTGTACTGTACTATGTCGAAGCTAACCTATATGCAATGTATAGTTTAGGAGTGAGCGAATAGCTGCTTCGGTTACTTAAAATATTTGTGGTTGTTTCGGGTGTTTGTTTTACATACGACAAGTTATCTCATAACACTTTCTACCAGCCTTTAACATATTTTTCCCAATTTCAGCGGTGAATGCTTGTCTGTAAACATCAAGGGTGCAGTTAAGCTGCACCACTAATCAGCTGGAAATAGGTGCGAGTATCACATCAAAATGAACAAAACAAGCATTGCCACCAAATAACCCTAATAAATCTCCTTCTGTTTCAATAGTTTACACCAATTTGAATTTTAAACTTTTTGACCCTCAGCATCTCTGATGAGTACTAAAAAGACAAAACAATTGTATGTTGCAGTGAATTCATTTTTGGCATACAGTACCCTTTGGCAAACATCAAAATTGTAATAGTATGCTCTTTCTTTTGTTCATCATTCAGGGCAATCATTCATAAACGCATTCCCTATAAAATTTAGGTACTGTACTAGTGGTCAATTCATAAATCAAGAGAGAAAATGCATTAGATAAAGTACTTAGCTTAAACCTGTGGTTGGGTTCCATTGTCATGCTAAGAACCTACTTGTTCACATCCAGTCTGAAGAAATCGGTATGCTATAAAAACAATCGTTGGGGGTCATAACTTTATTTTGGCATACGAATAGTGTTAAAAATACGTTCCAATGTGGCCTTTGTATTGTCTGTAAATGGCATCTGCAGCTGCCAGTGACTTCATATAGAACCATGTCAGTTTCAGACGACTAAAGTTCAGCCGTAGGCGTAGATTTTTTTTATTTTTTTTTTTGAATTTAGGCTGTTCTCTCCTGTGGTATTGGAAAAAATATGCGAACTAATCAACATTTGATGAGCAAATAATTTTAAAAACCTCGAAAAATGTCCAAGCACTTTGTTTGCAATTTTATAACGAGACATCATCTTGAGATGTTTCCAGTTGACGCGACAATAACTCAGTTAGAAAAAAAATGTATCGCGATGAATATATTATTTAAATGACTTTTTACATCAAATGCATCGTAGTGTTGAATGGTGTTTAAGTGTCTAAAACATATTATCATAATGCCAGTTTCATGCGCTCTTTTGAATAGCAAATAAGCTTTGCGATCATTAATTTTGATTTCGAAGGGCATTTCCCATTTAATTCTTCTTAATATCTAAAATTATCTGCTGGGTATATGACTGTCGTATCTGAGAATCAGTTGACACATGTACATGTACGCAAGGTGTTGTCAGATTCCAAATGGTATTGAATGTTTGATATTAATCGTCGGTGAACCATAAGACGCGTTCCATTCCGAGCCACCTGGTCATATTCCCTAATTATTAATGAAATATATCCATGTAGATCTTTCTTTTGTGAACATTTTCCACTAGTTATATTGACTTTTAATTCGAATAACTGTTTTATTGACATTTCGGTAATCTCCATTTTGTTCATGTCACGAGAGCCTGCTTATCCCCAATTCACACTGTTCAATTTTCTTTTTACATGTGTCGCTATTATTAACGCCTTATAATGTAATTATGAGATCGAAGACAGAACAAGATACAACGAAGACACTGATTAACGTATGTCAAGAAATAGATAAAAATCACTTCAACGATAAAAAACATCATTAATATGCAAATCTATTGTTCATACATGTAGGTTCTTCACGAAATTATTGAAGCGATTAAAACAATTTCTTATGCATCTTATAAAAAAACAAAAAAACTTCTAAAATAGAAAAAAGATTTGATTAACAAAATTCAAAACTTAGAAGAAAGGGAGGGAATTTAAAATGATGATGATATCCACAAATACAAAAAAGAGCTAGAGGATATTAGAGATAAAAAATTGAAGGGAAATATGGTCAGATCAAAGGTAAAATGGATAGAAGAAGGGGAAAAACCATCAAAATATTTTTGTAGTTTAGAAAAAAGAAATTTTACAGAAAAAATAATACCAAAGATAGAAACAGAGGTGGGGACTATTACAAAACAGGAGGAGATTTTAGAAGAAACCCGAAAATATTACGAAAGACTATATAAATATACTGATAAAGCCTCTAACTACTCATGGTTTGATGATATTTCACTTAATGTTTTTAAAATAGCGTCGGGATCTTTACAGAAAGACTTAAATCAGTTCTAGATAAACTTATACATAATGATCAAACAGGTTTTATTCCGGGCAGATATATAGCTGACAATACTAGATTAATCTATGATGTAATGGATTATACAGAGGAACAAGACATACCAGACGTGTTACTTTTAATTGACCTCGAAAAGGCTTTTGATTCTGTATCATGGTCATTTATAAATCTAGTTTTAGATTTTTTTAATTTTGGTTAGTCAATTAAGCAGTGGATACAAACTTTTAGAAATAATATTTCTTCTTTAGTGAACCAAGTTGGAAACTTATCTAAACCCAAAAAATTAGGAAGATGTTGTCGACAAGGAGACCCGTTATCACCATATATTTTCCTTCTCTGTGCAGAAATATAAGCAATAAAATTAAGAATAAATAAACATATAAAAGGCATCAAAATCAACACTACAGAACTTCTGATATCACAATTTGCTGACGACACTTCTCTTATTATAGATGGTACTGCAATATCACTTAGACATGTTATAAAAGAGCTAACTTCATTGATTATAAAGGTCTCTTTTTTGCAATAAGCAAATTAGGCTGGACTTTTGAAAAAAAGATTACACTACCATTGATACCACTGAATATTAATATAATTATCAAACATAAAAAAGGTACAAAGGATATGTACAATGTGCTGAACAAAAATAAATCAAAGATTTCAGCGCCTTTCATATAGTTCTTAGATAATTATATATATATATATATATAAATAAAGCAAAACACGAAGACAAGTATAATCGGCTAGCGCTTTCGCCCATCTTGGGGCTCTTAAGACGATTTAAATTTATTTGTAACGTCATAAATGGAGAACACATACTTAAGACGTCAAAAATAATAACGTCATAAACAAAGTACACATAATGCGGACGTCTAGAAATTGCGACATCTCTTATTCATTCACTTTGTCACACTGTAATTTACATTTATTTTCCCATAAAATTTTGATTTGCACAATAAACGTTTCAGATTCCTTGGTTGTCTTTTGCAATTAATTATTTTCTTCTTCTCCAAGACACGTTTCATTTTTTTTTTTTTTGCTATTCTTTAAAAATTCTTCGTGGACTTTCTAATTGGAAACATTTAAAAATTGTTAGGGTTGAATGTTGTATCAAACGGTATAATATCCTTTTGACTTGTATTGGCACTATTTAGGTCGTTAACTGAAATCGGACCCTTCTCCTTAGCTCTTTGAATACCGTTAAATATAATTTCGTCTGGATAGCATTGTTTTCTAAGATTATCTAATAAATTATTCAATCGCTCCTCTAACTTATATTTATCACTGACTATGGTTACTAATACAAAATGGTATGTTAACTTTTGTATGTTTGGTGTGACTGGAATGAAAACAAAGATAGTTCTGGGAATCAGTTGGTTTGCAATACAAATCTGTAGATATGTGTCCGTTTGTTTGTTCTACCAAAACATCTAGAAAAGGAAGTTGATCATTAACTTCCATAGTTTACTGTATATCCGAGTGTAAGGAATTTAACTCTGACTAAAA